AAAGTGATAGTCAAATAGACACAAAAGAAAACAATGCAATTAGAGAGTACTAAGGTGTATTAGTGTACTACCTATTTCACGGCTTTTTTGACTTCAGTCTAAGCCCGTGAAACAAAACTCGACTATTAAAGTGTGATAGTCAAATAGACACAAAAGAAAACAATGCAATTAGAGCGTACTAAGGTGTATCAATGTAATATCTATTTCGCGGGGTTTAAGTCGTGTACGTTGCTGGTTAAATGTAAAAGTAATTGAAGAATTAAAATACCTTATGGATTCGTACTGATAAATTTTGTACCGGTCATTAAATATACATTATTTTTAGATGGAAAACATTGGCTGGTTCGTGAATTTCATCACAGAATACGGAGTCCAGCAGGAATACATCTTTGTTACAGTGGATTTGTATGAGAAGCAGAACGTTTGGGGGGTAAGGATTTCCCCCTCTTATCCTCCCCCTTCGTCTCCCCTTCCGCTCCTCGAAAGTCGCTACGCATGCTGGGTGAAAGTGTAGATGTGCCATAAAACGTGTAGGGGAGGGGTTSCAATACTTATAACTTGGGAAACGTAGGGGAGGGGAGAGTTGTGTCACTTTGGTACTAATAATACGGCGCCAGGAACTTTATAAATTTGTGTTAAATTATTCTTACCTTTGAGTTCTAAATCATATCGTCTTGTACGTTCAGGTTGTCCTGGCTTTGAGGGCTCTTAAAGACAAGGTAATTATTTCAGGCTAAATCTTTCTTTGAACCGCAGCTCTTACAAAATAGAACTCTTAAGCTTTTAGGTCATATACCATATACGCATTGCATTGTAGGATATGTTTGGGAAATGGAAGATTTCTTTTGTTTTCTGCAGCAACTGATCCCACAATGCATTGCAAATCAAGTAGGTGACGTAAAATCTTCAGACGTCTATTGGCTGCAAAGAGTGCCATTGTGTGGAGAGTAGTTACTTAACTATAGGCAATGTAGAGATATTATGGGAGATATTATTATGGTTCAAATAGTTGTTTCCAGTTCGCTCTCGGTTGCATTTTTTAGTCGCCGACTGTCCTTCGTTAGTTTAGTGACAAAGGCGAAAATGCTATTTAAAACCGAAGAGAGAAAACTGCAAATTATGGAAAAACTCTCTAGGTAATGTACCAACCTCGTTTCCCAGACTCAAAATGAAGAGATAAAGTCCTGGGAAAGGGATACGTACAGCGATGCCATTTTGCTCAACAAAGCATTATGGGAAATACAGTCCTCGCACGTTTTATTGTCTTTTCAGAGTAACTAAGTTAGCCTCCTTTGCAGACATTATTAGTATTCACTGTAAAAATCGCGCGCTTTTTTTTTTACAGAATTTTGGACACTTACATCATATTTACATCAAATTTACAACCTTTAAAGCGCGCGATTTTTCCCAGTGATTGGTCATAGGGAATGGAATGCATCGTTCCACTGAGCAGACGTTAGTGGAGAGTGAACGTATGACCGATACTAATAACATCTGGAAAGGAGACTATTACAGGTGGGTCGTTACTATGATTCAGACACTATATTTCTTATTTCCAACAGGCTGCAGAAAAAGGCTTTGAAGGCTGAAGAGATTGTTTACTCAGTTCATTATTAGTCCTACACGTGTTATCTTATAGCAACTTTCGCACCAACCAAGGCACCAAGCAAATTTCCTAACAACATTTTGAGCTACCCTCCTCCCCAGACATCACTAAGAGTGACGGGCTTCCTGTATTTTTTTACGCAACCTCGTTCCCAGGGCTACTCTGCGCGCCCAGAGATATCTCTCTCTGCCATTTTGAAAAAAGCGAGCAGAGTAGCCCTGGGAACGAGGTTGTTTTTTACGGGCCAAGTTGGCCGTTACAAAGGAAGCCCAAAGGAGGAAAAAAGAGTTGCCTGGGGAGGAGAGTAATTTTCAGCGAAATTTGCTGTACCAGATTCAATTGAATTTACGCCTTGGTAGTTTACTATTGATCATAATAACGAAGTTTCGATTAATTTTAATTAATATTTAGTAGGAAAGAACAGAAAACGTTGTGAAGTATTTTGTTTGGTGTCGTTGGTTTGAATATGCCGACTGTAAAAGTTTGACTGTATACGTTTACAAAGCACGAAATAAAAGTTACAAAAGACCAATGAATGCCTCTTTTATTTAAAATAATAAAAAAATATATAATCACCTGAGAATATTCTATGAAACGAAAAAAAAAAATACGAATCTATTCTGAAACTAAAAATACTAAAAATATAATCTTAGCCTCAAACCCTATATTATCCCCCGTATTACACACGAAATTCATTAGGTGGTCGCTTTACGAGATGGCCGATTGTAAAAGTGGTCTTTCAAAGACAGACCACGCGCATAAGAGCCCGTGCGATTAAAAATAATCTTCAGTTGAAAGGTGCTCTCTGATTGGTTCAAAATCAAAGATGGCGAATTTTCGTATGCGAGAGCGCATCGCGCAAAGGTTCTTGGGTGGACGTGAACCGTTATCAAGCTCAATGCATGTAATGTGGATTAGACRATAGAAAGCAAAGGAATTTGCATTATAATCCAATTATTCAGTAATAATTTTCATAATTCAACACTAATTATGAAAGTATTTCAAGGCTTTTAGTGTCTGCACTCCAACAATTATATTTTTGATTTTTTAAATTAAAATGGGCTCATTTTAACAGGCGCGGATCCAGGACTTTGAAGTGGAGGGTGAATTGTTAAAATAATGTAATAAAATGGAAGCCAAACACCGAAGCCGGGAGCCCCTAGGGGGTTGGGGGGCATCCCCCCCGATAAATTTTGAAATCCAGATTCTCGGACATGTGATTTGTAGCGTTTTGTGGGCCTTTTTAGTAACTCTTTATTGAACAAATTTAAGCTGAATTTAGTACGCGATGCTCACTTGAAGCAAATAATCTCTCACGTTTAAAACTAGTATTTATCAAGAACAATGAGAGTTTACCGTGTACACACGAATATACATTACACCCACTAATGTCATCTAGGCTATTTACTGCCCCAAAAGTGATTGTTCCATCATCCTCCTTGGATGGAGTTCCATAAATGCTCGGCAAATAGTAGGTAGAATCAATCAGTCTTTGGAGAAATCAATTAATATCTCAATATTTGAGGGATAAGAGAAAAAAAAGGAAGAAGAGCTTAGAAAAATGGGGGGTGGCTAGCCACCCTATTCACCCCCCCTAGATCCGCCCCTGTTTAAGACTAAATTTCTAAAAGGAGGCCCCAGAAGTACGCTAATAAATGCCGTACGCTAATAAATCAAACTGATTGATTGGAATCAAATTGGTGTGATAGTTTGGCAGAATTACTGATGCTGAATTGATTATGTCAATCAACAATTTTTGTGCTATATATCAATGTCTTGATATGTCTTCAAGCAATGCCTTAGATTACAATTTTATGGCTGTAGGCGATTAACCATCTAAGGGCCCGAACACTTAGAGTTTTGAGGGAGGGAGTGGAGGATTTTAATTTTTTCAGTAAATTTCCTGTCCCTAATTTTGTCTTGCAGGGAAGGGAAGGTTTAAATCAATCAAAACTCATTTGGAAACTTGTTGTGAAGTGTATTACACAAAGAATTCCAAGAAGTGTATTTCATTTACAATTCAGCGGTTGTACGCACTATTTACGTGAATTTGTACAAAATCAAAATGGCAGAAATTTGAACTAAAATATGCATGTGAAGCGTCCAAAATCATTAGAAAGATAAATGTTCTATGGGAATAAATCGAACTAAATTATGCAAATTCCGTTGTTTTCCAATGTCATTGAACCCGTGAAACAAAATTTGACTGTTAAACTATGATAGTCAAATAGACACAAAAAAAACAATACAATTAGAGCGTACTAAGGTGTATTAGTGTAGTGTCTATTTCACAGGTTTTTGGCTCAAATCTTAGTATACTACATTGCYGATATTCCAACACCATTTGGTTGGTACTTTTTCAAGTTTCTAGAGTTTGCACTCTACCACTTACTAAAAATTGTATTCAAATTACCACCTTTTCACGGATTTCATGCGTTTACTCTATATAACCGTGAAACAATAGAATTGATAACTTGGGCTRCCTATGTCATAACTGAGTACGTCAAAAAACAAGTTTAGAAAAATTGTCACAGTCTTGCACTAAAGCACTGAATAGTCATCATACTTTTAGCTGAAAATTTCTTTATCTTGAATAAATACATTCCTTTCACCTCGGTACTTAGACCTACTTAAAAACATATGGAAACACTTAACATTGAGCGTTGAGCACTTAAAAAATTGCCCTTTGCACATGGAACTCTACACCATTTGGCGATAAGTAGGAAGGGGGYTGGGATTCGATTGGTGCGTTTCCRAAAATGGGGTCAAAAGACCAATCAAAACGTGAGCAATCGCCATACTCAACATGGCTCTGAGGGAGACATCCACATCTGACGATGCATAACACCATTTAGACTTTGTAACTGTCCATGAAAAGACTTAATMCTTTGGTTAAAACCCTACCAAAATCAAACTTAGATGGCTTGAAGATACCCTTGGAAAGATTTCACGAAGAAATTGGTAGGTATCAATCATAAACTTTAATAGATCTTATACATTCTTCACGTGCTTGAACAAGTAATTTATCGTTGCTATGGATACGTGTCTTCGAAGCCTCATGCAATATTAATGCAGCGGTGTTTTCATAGCGATTAATCATGGCATCAAGGGATTTAACAAAAGCAACAATGTCAAGAAGATGCATCAGTGAGCCGCCATTGCTTGGGAGTCGTCCTTTTTCGACGAATACCCAACGTACTGCGATTTCAAGCACACATTCGGTGGACGGAGTTAGATCTCAGTCGCCAAAGCAAAAGTTGAACATGTCTACATTTTCAAGAGGTCGACCAGTGGTTCGTGCCAGCACGTTTCCTTTACTTCCGACGCTAAACACTCCAAATAAACCACAATCGCTTAGACCCATCAATGACAGCCACAACGACAAGCTACCTTCCTTCAARAATAACGCTTTTTACAACCGAGAAAAAATTCTGAGCCCACAYCAAAGAGGTCTCGAAGGACGTAAGTTTCAGCTTCGAAGCCGTTATATTGAAATTAAGGAGCCGGCACCACCCAAACACCCGGCTCCATCGCTTCGTAATCCTTTAAGAAAGAGGGTTCAAGAGATTGGAGGATTTCAAGAGATTGGAGGATGCTTAGAAATAGAGACAGATATTCGGAATGAGGATGTAGACGATGGGTTCCACYTTAGCCCCTGCCAGACTAACCTTCGAAGGTTGTCGGTCATTACAGAGAAATCCGGCTTCTCAAAAACTTCAAAGACACTSCTCCTTGATTTGGAAGAAGAAAACGACATATATAAATCTGCTCTTCCTTCTGTCAGCGTCGGGAAGGAGTTTAGAAGAGGAAAAGATGAAAATAACAATTTCTGTGACAAAAACTCTAAAAARCTTCAAGAGCACTTGCAAATAACCGGGAAACAGTTCGACCCTTTGGAAACTAAAGCGGCTCTTCTGTCTAACTGGTTTCAATCTCTGCAAAGTGGGTGACTATTTTCTGTTTATTTATTGTTTCATTTTTAGCATATTACACTGAGGTGTTTTCAAGTAAAAGCGAGATTCATGAAATACAAAACTGCCTATAGCTACTGATACGAGTGACTGATTCAGCTCTTTACGCTGTAAGCACTAGATGCAAACACACTGAAAACCGTGAAAAAGTACTAACCAAATTGTTTAAACTGAACAGCGCAACAGTGTGGATTAGACAATAGAAAACAGAGGAATACTCTTAGAGTTAGGTCACAAAAACCCGTGAAATAGACATTACACTAATACACCTTAGTACGCTCAAATTGTATTGTTTTCTTTTATGTCCATTTGACAACACATTAATAGTCTATTTTTGTTTCACGGGTTTAATGATTTTACTGTAGTGAACTARTTCACGGTTTTAGTGTTTGCATAAACTTCTTGATTCTTAGAAATACTCCAGTTTCGAAATCTTATTTGTGSAGCCTTAACCTCGARAGCATGTAATAYATTCTTTTATTCAGCAGAGATCCTATTGTAATGCAAACACTCTGTGTACAAAGAAGACAATAAAAATTTATGCTTGATTGAAGCTAAGCTTGTACATAAGAGAATTCGRTAGTTGGAGTATTTGTCAATCATCAGCCGATTAGAAAAAAGACAATGAGTGAATTTTGATTTGAAAATATTTTTAAACTCACAAAGAAAATCTAAAGAGACTGGTAATAATTATTCAAAGGATGAGCATTAGCTAAGCAGTTCTGTTTCAGTTTACGTGACAAGTCTGATCTTTATCAACTGAAAATCCAAGGGCACTCATCAGGAAGAAAKAGGATATGTTCAGGGGCGTATTTAGATGGGGTCATAGGGTGCTCGTCAGCCTTATCGAGAAAACCAAATACGGAAAAAAATCAAATTAAATGTTTTTTTTTTCTTCATATATTTAGCTTTTGTGGGAATTCTATAAGCAATATATCATATGACTCGCGTCCGACCTTCGTAGGCTTTAAAACTGCTTGCTTGCATCTCACAGTTTTAAATGCCAATAAAAATCTCCCATTCATATTTTAAATATTACATAAAAATTTGACTGTTCATGAAATTTGAAGATTTCCTTAGTGAACTTAATCAGTCCAGAAAATTAGTCACCAAGTGTTAAATTATTCCCTTGCGTTTAATCACCACCACCACCACCACCACCACCACCACCGCCATCATCATCATAATCATCATCATGATCATCATCATTTCCTCTTATATGGCTTGTAGATAATGCCCTTCGGGTGCTTATGCGAGGTTATCCAGTTTATAAGCAGACTGGTATGACGTCATTGCAAGCATTTTTGCACATAAGGTCTCCCTAATGACATGACAAATCCTGTATACACCCTTCCGCACCACCTACATTGTACATAGAATGGTAGCTAGCAAAATTATATTTACATTCAAAATGGAAAATTATTCAGCCGAGCGCGTGTCAAATACATTTTTACAGGTGTGATATATTAAATAAAGTATACAGTATTTTATCGTAATTCATTTATAGACAGTTTACAATACTCCTCCCCCATCTCATCCCTCCCTCCGTCTAAGCAGGTTATGTAATGCTGTACGTAAGGGTCTGTGGGTCTCGCCACTTAGTAGGGCACTTTTTGTCTGGCCAGAGTCGAGAGACGTTAGTAACATTTATATGACAAAGTGTTGCTTTACTTTTAGTTAACTAAAAAATTAATACCGAATTTCTTTTATCATTCTCCCCTTTTTAAAACCAAAAACGGAATTTGTCTAACATTTATCGTAAGTGCGAAGTATCGCAAGATAGCTACAAATCATGAAACTGCGCTGTTCGGAAACCAATTTATTTTTTTCCAAAATAGCAGTTAATAAAGCGTTGTCATTTGGAAATAGCCGGTTAGATCTTCCAAGACATAGGCATCTGAATTACCTTTTGAATTACCCATYTGAATTATTTTATCAAGGACTGAGAATTTATGAATTTATGAATTCAGGAATGATTTYGTATAGCTTTGAAAGGTACAATATYCCATTAATKCAAACAAGACGCTGTACTACATGGCGTGGAACTGAAACAAAGCTATGCRRAAATRGTCAWAAAGTTGTTAACATCCTATGAGTATCCAAATCCCGACAACAACTGGGCACCGACCGGCGCCACGTGACAAAAACAACCATTTTCCTATTTGACTTTTTTATTGACAACTTCTGTCCAATGMTCGCTCCTGATTGGCTAATAAACGTACTACAATAACGTCATCATTCCAGAACACTACATTTCTCTATGACTTGATCAACAACAACTGACAAGTGATCGATTTTTTTTCAAAACAATTCAAAACTAGAATATTTCGTCGTAGGAGGTCGAATTCCTAACCATAAAAGTTCCCACATTACGGGCTTGGAATCACAGAAAATGAAGAGATTTTCGATTTTAGCACTTCTTTGTTGTGTGTTTATGAATGGGAGCCTCTCTTATGGCAGTCGCATTGTGAAACGCTGGGCATTTTTCGCCAAACAGGACGGTAAGTAACGAGTACTTGACATGTGTAAACGCTTGTAATTTCATACGTTAAATCCCAACCATAACGAMCYTAATTYCACTAAGAGAGCGCAAATATACAACAAYTTTTTTTACGGTTTCAAAGTGTTGCTTATCAAAGCATTCAAGTGGAAATTCTYAAGTGAATACATCGACACTTAAAGAGAAAAATATATTGAAAAAGTCATCGCATTCAAATTTTAAATGGTTCAAAATAAAAAACAAAATCGCTGTATTATAAATTTTAGATTGCTTTCGAAGGTAGTTTATRTAATTTTATAATTTCTAAAAGTTATTTTTTGTGCTTTGAATTGTAAACTTRATTCTTGACCAACTTATAATGGTTCAATGATCAAGAAATACCCGATACTCAAAATTTTCACAAAACACGCCCAYTTTCTCTAAAATCACTTCACAAAACAAATGTTTTAAGAGGTKAACTTATTTTACAATGTTCAAGTATGATTTGACATTTAAACAGGGACATAATCTTTATTTCTATTCTATTATTTTGACCTGCGATAGCAGAGAAAGATTTGTTTTTCTTAGGGCAGGTTTTGTAGCAGGTAGAAGTATTGCTGAGCTATTGTACGAGTCACGGTGATTGGTCAGCCAATAAAAAACACTCCCTATTCGTCTTACCCTAACCTAAGTTTACACAGATGAAAAATATCGAGACATTAACTGCTCAATTCAATAAATCTTCAAAACGTATATCGTAAAAYCACCTAATCGGTGRGTAACTAGTAATCTATCATTTTTTGAAGTATTTGCTAAAAAATGTTGACACAGACATCACACTGAGCCACAATTAGACAGTTACCCGTAAAAGTACTATTTTCAATGAAGTGAAGTCACAAAGCAGTGAAATAGATACAGGATATAACAAACCATATTTGACAGTTTTGTCTTTAACTCCATAAAGCCGTGAAACAGTCATTTAGTACAATTATTTGAGTCTGACTATAGTGCAAGAGTCAAACAATAAAACCACGAGAAACTTCACAAATTAAATAGTGGTAATTAGTGAAGTACAAACACTTAAAGCGTGAAAAATTACTAGAGTGAGATCATTAAACCCATGAAACAAAATCTGAGTATTATAGTCATTTTCAACCGTCTGTGAAATAGGAATTGTACTATTAAATACTATTATCCCCTATTAGCTCCCAATAGTTTAACTTATGACATGCGACAAACTAATTAGGCAAACACGGTTTTGATTTTGCCTTTTGGTAGCCTACTACACCCTAATAGTTACTATTAAACACTGACTAGTAGTAATTGTTTCACAGACGGATGAAAATGACCCTTTAGTCTGATAGTCAAATAGACACAAAAGAAAACAATGCAATTAGGGCGTACTAAGATGTATTACAAGTTTTTTGACTTCTCTCTAACCAAACAGTGCTAAATGGCGCAATATAGTGTAGATTAGACAATAAAAAACAAAGGAACTGACTTAATTCAGCAGAGTTTAAACACTAAAACTACTTTATTAATTAAATGTTTAAAAGTGCTAAATTGTACTGAATTGTACAAAGGGACTCCTGTGTTATTTAGTTTTGGGTTTCCTTTACCGAGTCTATGCCATATTTGGAATAAACAAGATGGCTTCAAGAGCCTTTTCGCTTTAATATCAGCATGTTTTAGGCAATTTGAAGCTATAAAAATAGAGAAAATCGCCAAAACGAGTCATCTCGCACTTCCAAATAAGGTAAGGTAACCATATATGGTGTTCTTGGTTTAGCGCACCAAGCGCAGATTTATTAGCCAATCAAAAACGAGTAAAAGTACGCTCAAGACATAAGTCAACACGATAGTGAATAAGGACATTAAAACCGTGAAACCAAAATGAACCGTGAAACAAAAAGGTAACTATTGAAATGTAATTAAAGAGTTGTTTCATTGACAAGTAAAATTCATAAAATACCTTTAAGAGTGAGTTCATTAAACCCGTGAAACAAAAGTTGACTGATGAAGTGTGATAGTCAAATAGATATCAAACAAAACAATGCAATTAGAGCGTACTAAGGTGTAATAGTCTAACAACAATATAGTCATAATTATTGGAGAAGAAACGCGCAAATTAAACAAAATGTTTTTATTTTATTTTATAAGATTAATACTGTTTCAAAACTTAAACATCTAAGTCAATTTAACAAATACAATTAAATTGTTCGTGGTATCTACTGCTTTCTCGAGAGCGAATTACATGAAATTATTGCGAGACATCATCTCAACCATTAAATTTCACTTGGCACCTCGTTATAACCAATAAAATGTTATTAAGATATGAAAAAGACACAAATAGATTTTTAATTCTAACTTGTGAAGATTTCATTCGCGTTAGTACGGGTTAATCTACTAGTAGAGTATTAGTACAGAGTGCTTAAGTCCCGTTTACACTTGCGATTTTTGCAGCGTGATAATAGGCACTTTGTTATCGCGCAACTCAAATTGTACGTATAAACAGCCCTACGGTTGTTGCGGCAATGGAAAATCGCCGCGAAGTTGTAGCCAATTTTCAAGCATGTTCGAAAGTCAGGCGATGGTTACGCGATGATTGCCGCGACAATCGCTCTGCAAAAATCGCAAGTGTAAACGGGCCTTTACAACGGACTGTGGAAGTTACTAAGCTAGAAAAGGACCATGTTCAACCAGCATTCAATGCGGTCGTGGTTTAGATTTTTCATATATGGAAAATGAGGGGACTTCACGGATTCGTTTCCATCCGTCGGTTTTAAGATCGAATCTTACAATTTCTCAATTCATAGAGCATAAAGTGATAATAAAGAGTAATTTTTGCTTACATTACAATGTATTTATGTTTTCAAACATAAACAAAAGCTCCGAAAATGATGATAGTGGACGACAGCTCTTTAAGGCCATAAAAAACACTTGTTTCTTTGTTGGAATATACCCATTTTAAAGTACTAAAGAATGACTAATTTCAACTGTTTCAATGTACGATAAAAACCAATCTGTTATATAAGGGTGAGGGAGTTTTAGTTCGGTTGACAGGAGACTGCTCAAACGGGGCGTTTCAATGTGAACATGGCAAAAATCTCYAACAGGTACCGTACAGATACTTGTAGTCCATTTGAGCAAAAGACAAAGGTTCAAATGATTAAAAATTCATAACTAGTGTAGTCTCTACAATAAATCAAGACTCGAAACAATAAACATAGGGGATCCTCAGTGGCACGTGGTTAGAATTCGAAAAATATCCTCGATCGAAGATTTCATTGTCGATTTCAAGGAAAATGAGACTGGGAATTTTGTTTGTAGTAATCGCTTTCGTAATAATATTTTCAATTTGCGAGTCGAAGTCCACGAAAAAAGCGCCCAAAAAATCCAAAGATGACACCAAAGCTGTGAAGTCGTCTCACCCATCAKTGAAATCTAAGGTGAAATCGGATTCAAAGAGCACAAAAAAGATCGAAGCGAAGAAAGAAAAGGTTCCCGCGAAGAGTGCGAAAAAAGAAAAAGTAGCTAAAAAGGGTAAAGAAGCTGCCAAGGCAAAATCCAAGTCGAAAATTGCCGATAAAAAGAAARCAAATAAGCCCAGTCAAGACAAAACCAAGAAAAAACCGGCGGATAAGAAAGTGGAAGTTTCCAAAAAACCCGAATCAAAGGCAAAAGGTAATAATACTCTGTTTTTAAGTCGATTTTGAAACTTTACGACATGTTTTAAAAATAAATGGGTAGGTRCATGTGCACACAGAAAGCGTTACAGATATGCCATCTAGGAAATGTGTAAGTTTTTTTGTAAAATAATTTCGAAGAATTGACAAGTCTAAGTAGAGGATCTTGGGATGATTTATATCATGAATCGAAATTATCTTTTTAAGATGCGATTTCTTCATATTTTGAAAGACATAACAATTACATACAATGTAATGGTCTAAATATTGACCGAAATAAGTCTTGTCGTCTAATGAAGGCGTTYGCTTTGCGATTTTTACTATTTTTTTTAATTTATTATCAAGATCATATTAATTATCATTGGAGTTCACACCCTCAATCTCTAAAACTATTATTCTAGTAATTATACTATTATTTAAGTAATTAGACAAAGGTATTTGTTTAATTAAGGACTATTATGTATTATTTAGATCGCACGCTTTTAGTGTGTTTTAGTGTTTATTGTCGTTTTCCACAATTAGAATGGTTTTCTTGTGTAACATTCCAAGTGTAATATTGTGTGATACACCAAAAAGATAAAACAAAAAACATGCAAAATAAAGAGCAATATGGTGTATAACACTAAACTATTTTTCACGGATTTATGAAAACCCTCCAAATCCGTGAAATACATTTTACCGTAGTTCACTTTATATTACTCTTAATTTCGCACGTTTTTTCTTTGTCTTTTCGTTGAATTGCATTTAATAACACTTTGCCTATTAGAATGTATTAGTTTTCTCTGCATAAAGTCCATTATTTGAATGTAGTGTAATTAYTATATGAATGAAACGGTTTTCTAAATAAATAAGRCAAACTAGTACAAAGTRCTTGCAGAGATATAAAARTAAGGACYRCATGGMACTATGAGATACATRAWATCGAAATAATGGAAAGTTATAGTGCTAGGAAGGAGGTTATTCCGGGARAAAGACCCTTGGAAATTAAGKTGGAAAAATTAACCTTGCTTGCTATCACTTATCGGAGYAACTTCGTACAAAGTACACTCTACAGAAACCAGTTTTGTGACTCGAATTATTTTCGAAATAAAAAATAAATAAGAATACAAAAATGAAATGAAAAGACCTCACTATAATCTGGAATAACTAGAGTTAAACGAACCAATGAACCTTACAGCAGTATAACACACACTTGGGTAATAAACAGAGTGTMGAAAAATTCACCGAAGACGAACTGGTACCTGATTGCAGAAATCTCAAATATGCAAATGAGCTCGGTACGCTCGATAAATTCAGAAGTGCTTTTGATTAGTGATAGTGATTTACAATTTTACTTCGACTGAGCGAAAGCAAACAATAAANGCACCAGTCCAACAAAACTACAATTACTACACAAGAAGCAACGTCCCTGCCGCTCCACAACCCTCACAGGTATAGTCTAGGTTAAAACTAGTCCAGTATTCAATTCCAATCAGTTTAAGTGTTATTCTTTGAACGGAATTACGAAACACTTTTAATTACCTGACTTATAYGTGGATGTGTAAATATACTATTCGATGGCATGTAGGCAAATAATATATCATCTAAAGAAATACTGACATTTATTAACTGTTTATTTCCCTGAGTCTATACATTTTCTTGTATTTTTACACGCAAATTTGAAAATCACTAATGAGTATCTTCGCTGAGTAACGCAGGCTCAACAAGTCCCAAATAGTTTGCGATGTTATTGTAACCATTATTATCATTACGGCATTGCAGGATATGAATCAATGGAACGCTCCTAGCGCATACGCCGCAACTAAGAAGGATACCCTTCCAGCAGCACCGGCAGCTCAGGCAGACGATCCCTTCGCTAACTTCATGAACATGCAGTCCTCACAAAACGCAGCACCACAGGCACCCCAACAAAGAAGCAACATTCCAGCACCAGTGGCCGCACCACAGGAAATCCAACAAAGAAATGACATCCCWGCACCAGTTCCAGCTCCACAGGAAACCCAACAGAGAAGTGCAATCCCAATCGACGCCGCGTATCAAGCCCCTGTAGACCAAGCTTACCCATCCATGCAACAAGCTTACTTCAGAGATCATTTGAGGAAATGGAGCCCAGAGGATGATGGGATGTTCCCAGAGAATCCTTAATTGGAGTTCTCACTTTTGATATTTTTTAACGCGGCTTGGTTAACTAGGGGGGTTATATCCCTCGACAAGTCAATTTTGCATTGTACATTGACACATATTTTATAACCAGAGAACGATAGTCTTCTATGATTAGATWAAACACCCTCATACATATTAGCGAATATACTTGATGCAAATTGCAATAAATAACGCATCCAGCACAGATGATTGACACTTGTCAATCAATTAGTGACTTTAAGGGGTGCAGGAAATAACAYTTTAAACGAATGTACATTGGTCAATTTTATTTAAAATGACGACTTTTTGAACGGAATAATAAAAAAATGATTATTTAGATTATATAGTCATGTTTACTTTCTTTATAAATCGCCTAACAGAAAAATGATGGGCATTAATGGATGATTTCGGGTTCAGTGACCACGAACAAAGCATTGGACCGAGGCGTTAAATGCACACAGACATCCGAGAACCTGCGTGTGATTTTCTCACTTACGATGAAAAATCGCATCTTTGATTCATTCTCGAATCCAATTTCTTCTCAATTCCCCAACGGAAAATCGAATCCTCTGGTTAGAGATGAATGAGTCTTTGATTTGATTGGTTTAAAAATTGCCATGYTCCATAAGTACGCATATATCGTACGACCAAGATTCCGGGTCTTCGCTTATCGTTTCCAACCACAGCCTTCAATTTTCCATTGGGAAACTGAGAAGGATCTGGGCACGAGAATGTCATGATTGTAAGCCGCGTGGCTGCCAATTGCGCCTTAAAAAAAAACAGCGGTCCGTGTGAAATGATCTATACATGTGAAGCGCCTTTGAACTCAGAGGATATCGGCGCTATATAAATACCACATATTATTATTATTATTATTATATTATATTTTATTGTGAACCAATCAGAAAGCATCTTTCAATCAGTTGAAGAATGTGATCATTTAAGATATACAGCTATTTCAAAAAACATTGTTTGGGAGAACGGCGAACGGTGATTGTCGAAGGGAGATTGCACGACCGAAAGGGATTATGGTTACATTGTTTTGATAAACAAAATTTCACTTATTGGATTCAGGTTACATAGAAATGGAGACTAAATGGATCCAATGTTTACCACAGACCATCTTACAGTACAAATCAGTTGTTATTTCATTTCAACCAAGCAAAACTCATGGCTACTTTCGGTCGTGCAATTGCCGTTCGACAATTGACATTCGCCATTTTATCCGACAACCATTTTTGAAAAAGCTATATCAAGAATAAAAAAAAATCTATTATGGATCATTCAGTGTTCTTTGACACCTCGGTTCAATGCTTTGCTCGTGGTAACTAATRAACCTGCGTATGTAAAGCCGTAAAATGCAGTCCACATCAAATGATAACCACGGTTTCCGACACGTTCGCTAATCTCATTATGAATATTTTCCCATAATGCAACAAGCTCATAACAAATGTTTCCCATGATGCACCATGCTCATTACCATTGTTTCCCATCATGCACCAAGGTCATTGCCGATATTCCCCATCATGCACCAGCCTCGTTAAAAAAATGTTTCACATCATGTACCAAGTTTATTAAAAAAAATTTCATTTAATTTACCACACCCAGTTATCAATTTTCCCTGAATGACAATCACATTTTATAGTTTATATATAGTTTAAAAGTATAATTTAAGCCCCTAAAAATTTTACAAGCACACAGGCCATGATAGTCACATTACTGCCAGTCCCAATCAGACCAGTTTCCTTGATAACAAAAAAAAATAGGTTATTAAGATATATTAGGAAAACTAGGTCAGAAAATCTGTCATTTTGAATGTATAGTAAAAAAAAAATCGAAGTGTACTTTTTGTGTGCATAATATTTGATAAATATTATATATTTTATTTGCTTGATAAATTACTGCT